TGTGTGTGTGTGTGTGTGTGTGTGTGTGTGTGTGTGTGTGTGTGTGTGTGTGTGTGTTGCCAGGTGGAGATGCTGAACTCCATCAAGTCCCTGCAGAGACACGTGGAGCTGCAGCAGCTTCCTGTAAACTTTGGAGGATCGTTCATCTTCAGTCAGAACAGCTGGATCAGCTTCACATCTGTCAGTACCCCATCAGACACGTTTATTTATTCATTTTATTTTATTTATTCAGAAAAAACAACAAAGTTTATTAATTAAACAAATCAATAAATGAAGAGGAGCAGAAAAGAAAAAATGATAAATTTCTTTTTGATTTTTTCTTTGACTGTTTTATTAAGTGACATCAGTTCTGTCTGAGTCAAATATTTTATATCATGTATTTTTATTACTGTAAAGTAACTTCACATGATTCCAAACTGCTGCTTACTTTGTTTGAAGTTTAAAAAGCACAAAGCCCAGGAAGAAAACAAAAGTCATGAAAACACCAGCATCTTCTTTGTTTAGACCAGGGGTGTCAAACTCCAGTCCTCGAGGGCCGCTATCCTGCATGTTTTAGAGGTTTTCTTGCTCCAACACACCTGATTTTGATCGCTGGGTAATTAACAGGCTTCTGCCCAATTTGAAGAGTTAATTCAATCACTGAATCAGGTGTGTTGGAGCTGGAAAACCTCTAAAACATGCAGGATAGCGGCCCTCGAGGACTGGAGTTTGACACCCCTGGTTTAGACGTTTAGATCTCTCCAGTGTTACTAGTTGTTTCCTCTCCTCCTCTGACTCTTCTGCAAACTGTTTACCTGAAGTTTCTTGGTCTTTTGGTTTGTTTTCTGCAGCCTTGTTTTTGTTAAGTTTCTCTTGAGGATATTCTAGAAAATAAGATTCACACAGCTGAGTTTAAACAAACTTAAACACCTTTGAGAGAGAGCAGGTTCTACGATGATGGACCGGAATCAATGTATACTGTTACAGAAAAAACCTCTGCTTACCCAGACTTTATTTATAAAGAACAGCTGGTTGGAAAGTGACACAACTCGTTACAGCAGGGCTGTGCAACTGGCGGTTCGGCCCTCCAATTGGTTCATTCATCTCTTCAGCCCAAACCTCTGGTTTTCTACTTTAATTACTCTAAGTTCTTTTAGTTAAACATAAACATGTTTGGTGTCTACAGAAACAGCAGAATCTTGGGTACAAGCTGGTAAAAAAAAAAAAACATTTCAATGAGCATTTTAGACAGTTAAAATTACAAGCAGTTTAAACCATGAAAGTGAAAATACAATGGGTTTAAAAATTTGGCAAGTCAGAGATGTCAAAATAATATTTGTGTGAAATAGGAGGCAGAATGTGTTCTTTTTGTTTTTGATATTGTTTAATTATCACTACTTTTATTGTATAGGGCTCTGTATGTTGT